GGAGGGGGGGGTCCCGGGGCGGGGGGGGGTGGGTCCTGGTGCCGGAGAGGGGGGTCCCGGTGCCGGAACGGGGGGTCCCGGTGCTGGGGGGGGCTCAGCGGGCCACCATGCGGAGCTGGTAGATGGGGGGGATGTTGGCGAAGCCGCTCTCCACCGGGGTGGTGGGCAACTGCGCCGGCGGCACCAGCGGCTGCAGGCGAAGGTGCTGCAGGATGGTGGTGAGGAAGAGGAAGAGCTCCATCCTCGCCAAGGCCTCTCCCAGGCACACCCGCTTCCCTGCAAGCAGCGGGAGGGTGGGTGACCCCCGAGGGGCGAGGGGACCCCCGAGGGGCGAGGGGACCCCGGGGCCCCCCCCGCGGTACCTGAGGAGAAGGGGACGAAGGCCTCGTTCTTCTTGAAGCGGCCGCTCTCGTCCAAGAAGTTTGCGGGGTCGAAGGCGTCGGGGTGTTTGTAGGCGTCGGGGTCGTGCAGGACGGAGCTGAGCAGGGGGTACACCTCGGTGTCCTGCGGGCGGGGGTCAGCGGCGCGGCACGCCACGCGGGCAAGCGAGCGCGCACGGGGAGGCGTGCGTGGGGCAGGGTGCATGGGGAGGCACGCGTGCAAGCGAGCGTGCACGGGGAAGCGTGCACGGGGCGGGGTGCACGGGGAAGCATGCCTGCAGCGAGTGTGCATGGAGCAGTGTCCACGGAGCAGCGTGCATGGAAAAGCACGTGTGCAGCAAGTGTGCACGGGGCAGGGTGCACGGGGAATCATGCATGCAGCAAGCGTGCACGGAGCCGTGCAAACGGGGCAGCGTTGCACGGGGAGGCACGGGCGGAGCAGCGCGCACGGAGCCGTGCAAACGGGGCAGCATTGCACGGGGAGGCACGCGCGGAGCAGCGCGCACGGAGCCGTGCAAACGGGGCAGCATTGCACGGGGAGGCACGCGCGGAGCAGCGCGCACGGAGCCGTGCAAACGGGGCAGCATGCGCCAAGCGTGCAGGGAGCAGCGTGCACGGGGAAGCCGGTCCCGATCCCCGCTGGCACCTTGGGGATGAGGTAGCCGCGGAAGAGGGTGTCGTGGGTGACGACGTGGGGGACGTTCATGGGGATGAGGTCGCTGCAACGCTGGATCTCGTGGATGACGGCGTCCGTGTACGGCATCCGGCTCCGGTCCTCGATGTTGGGGGCCCGGTCGCGGCCGATCACCCGGTCGATCTCCTCGTGCACCTTCTCTGCCGCCCCGACCGGGATGGGGGTCCCCGCTCAGGCCCAGGGGGGTCCCCGTGGGTGGGGGGCGGAGGGGGGGGTGCACCCCACTTACCTTGCACGGCGGGGTGCTTCATCAGCAGGAGGAAGCCGTAACTCCGGGGGGAGCTGACCGTCTCGGTGCCGGGGGGG